TGTGTGTGTGTGTGTGTGTGTGTGTGTGTGTGTGTGTGTGTGTGTTTAATTGCTCTTTTAGCTACTTTTGCCTGAACCTAACACTGTAAGTGAAACAAGGCATTTCTTGAGTTGCTGTAAATTATGCTATAATACATATTTACTCTCTCATTCCAGAAAACAAGAACAAACAACAACATCCTTCATGATGGACAGACATCATGGACACCACAGCAGCAGCTGTCTTCACTGAAACATCCTGAACATGATCGTCACTGACATGAGGCCTCTGTCGATGGTTGAAGACGAAAGCTTCACTACAATGATCCACACTTTTAATCCAGGTTACAATAATCCACACTTTTAATCCAGGTTACAATAATCCACACTTTTAATCCAGGTTACACACTTCCCTCAATGACACATTTTACAAAGTAGCTACATATTGTGCAGGTATAAAGACACATTTGTATATATTTTTGTGTACTTTTATTTTTTTAAGCTATTTGACTAACTTTTATTTTTTATTATTCAATATTTTACTAACAGAATAGTAAAATAGCAACCTGTTTTTTGTGTGAATTGCTATGTCAGTCAAATGTTCAATTTTGGAATAAAGGGGTGGAAATTAAAACGTTGTGGGGTTTTTTGCCGATTCATCGATTAATCGAAAAAATAATCGGCTGATGAATCGATTATTGAAATAATCGTTAGTTGCAGCCCTAGTTGTGTATGATTAGAATTAGTTTATCTGAGTGTTACAGGAATAACTTGTCCTTTCAGTTTTTGACTGCATCTCCTTTATTAGTTAAAATTAACAGCAAGTTATTCTTTGAGGTGATAAGTTATTCATTTTACATTTAGTTACTCATTTGCCCATCCACACACATTCATATAGCATCCTGCAACTTCTCTACAAAGCAAATCTGAATATGTCATTCCATGGAGTCTAATCGGTGCTTTAGATTGCATTCATATATTGATGGGCACAAATCAGACGTCGTTAGGGGAGTCAGTGTCATGCCCCGGTACATTTTGACATGCAACTACATATTATTAGAATCAAACATCTAACTCATTGGTTGAGGACAACTTCTCTAACTTCTGAACCACCGCTGCTCCAAATTTATTAAAATCCCTTAAAGACTCCACTTCCAAAGTGTTCTCGTTATTACTAGTTTAAGATAAACTCAAAATGTTTATCAATGTGTTTTTGTGTGGTTCATTTGACTTCATAATTAAATTATTTTACAAAATAAACTTCAAGAATAGTTGTTCCTTTTTTTTTCTTCTTTTTTTTTTGCCGGGTTTTAAAGAAATAGTCTGGCTGTCTGCCTCTCTGCAATAAAATCATAATGTCTCTGGAAAGGAGGCTGTTGACATTTCTGGCCAAAGTTGGTATCTATGGAAGCAATACTAATATGAGATTCTTTCTCCAGATACCAAAACAACAGAATGTATAATCAAAGCCATGTTAATGTATCATAATATTTTCTAAAGGTGTGTCCTCGAGTGTTCTCGCACTTCAGGCACTTTTTTCTACAAGAACAACGTCCGTCATGTGTTATTCATTTGACTTTTCAATCGCCTGCTGGAATCATTTTGCTCAGCAGATGACTTAAGAAAGGAAAGAAAAACACCATGATGATCTTATTCTGACACTTGAGCTTGATAAGCAAAGCAGTTCTTGATGTGCGTCATTTAGTTAAAGCACACGAGAAAGATTAGGTAATACAGATTAATGGTGATATTTATAGATATGACAATCCTCCCTCCCTTCAAACTCACTGAGATTTTTGCACGCCACAATGTGCCAGATCACGCCAGTGGCCTCGTCGGCTAATTACGAGGTAGTGCATGTTGTTGCGTCTCTGTTGCCTGCTGGTTGTCTTGGTGGAATCCACAGGATTAATGTGAGAAGAAAATTGTAATGATCTCACATCTGATGCCCTGAACAACAAATTTTCTATGAACATTACAGATGATTCAGTGGTATATAGTCAAAAAACCTGCATCATTTTGTAAAGCTCATTTGTTTTAAACTTTACCTGACACTTACAGGATTATTCCTGAAGCTAGGAGTAGTCCTCAGCTTGAGTACCATACTTGCCGCCGTACACGTTGCACCCCGTATAAGCCGCATCAGTTCAAATATGTCTAATAAAGTGGAAAAAAACATAAATGTCGCTTTGTCGTATAAGTCGCATCTATTATGCGTCACTGCTGACGCGTCACGTTTGTTACGCGTCACCGCTGACAACCTGGAAATGTGGGCCGGTGTTGTGCCAAAAGTTGAAGGGCTTCCAAATGGTCACCGCGGGAGCGTGCACGGGAGAACTTTAACAAGAATTTAACAAGATTAACACTTAAAAACAATTATTTGTTTGTTCGAAATTAGAGTAAAGGTGTGTCTCAATCTAACTTTTGCTTAATAAATGTAACATGTTTCAGTCAGGTCATCTGGACAGTTTCATTTTTTGTGCTGAAACATTTCGCCTTTGATCCGGAAGGCTTCATCAATCAAGGAAACGCACAACAAAACCAATTCTTCCCCCAACAGCTTACTCCTTACTTGAGCATGGACTTTGTTGTTTTCAACCAGTTTGACATGATTGTCAACAAGGAAGAGGGCCAGCAAAGGAGGAGGGGGCGTACCAAAGAGACCATCTTATCACAAACAAAACTGATTTGTTCCACTTTGGAGTAAGCTGTTGGGGAAGAATCAGTTTTGTGTTGTGTTTTTCCTTGACGAGTCGCTGTGCATTTCTTTGACATTTAACAAGATGACCTAAAAACAATTATTTGTTTGTTCGACATTATAGTAAAGGTGTGTCTCAGTTGAACTTTTCCTTAATAAATATATTTTAATGGTCAAATCAGCTGCATTTCAAAAGCCGGTATGCAGAAGTAGGAGCACGCAGTTGGAGGACTCGCTGTGCATTTCTTTGAAATTTAACAAAACACCTAAAAACAATTATTTGTTTGCTTGACATTATAGTAAAGGTGTGTCTCAGCTGAACTTTTCCTTAATAAATGAACTTTGACAGTCAAATCAGCTGCATTTCACCTGGGCAGCATGGCAAAATGCAGCTGATTTGACGTTTGCACCAGGAGTTCCTAAGCAAGACGAAGGTGGCTTGGTTTGGCAAGCCAAGTGTCTCATTAATAACCACTTTTACCTATTAATGAGACACTTGGCTTGAAATATTAGTTGAGGGTCCTCTAGTTGCTGATAATGGTATTGTTCAATTCAACAAAGTTCATGCTCAATCGTCCAGGTACCAAATCCAATAATGCTCAGTCAGGTCATCTGGACAGTTTTTTTTTTTTGTTTTGGTAGAGGCGTTTCGCCCTTTATCCCGAGAGTAGTGTTCAATATTTTCCATGTCGGAATGAATGAAATCACGACATCTCAAACAAACATTGGGTTATAAGGGGGGGGGGGAGGGGGGGGACATAAATATGTCGCTTCGCTGTATAAGTCTCAGGCATGCTAATTTTTGCCAAAAAAACTGTGACTTATTCAGCAAAAAATACGATATTCTTTAAGGACATCACAGATAATCATTTAAGTAAAAGAAGCATAATGTAATATTTTGTTACACTGAGCTTTTGCCTTGTTTTAGTGGTGGTTTACCTGCCTTTTTTTCTCAGCAGCAATGGGAACAGCAGTAGTTGGAGCAGTTTGGGCCTGGAGGGGGAAGTGTGTGAGGAGCGCGTGTCATTCTCCCCCTCTGACAGGTTGGTTTTCAACTGGTTGATATAAGTAATCTTTTAAACTGCAACTCAACAAGAAAGAGCTTTCAGTATGAAATCATTCTTTTGGGTTTGATTTGATAACCATTGTTTTTCCAACAAGAAATGTTCACTTAAACATTTCATATTTAGTTTGTTTTAATTGAATGTAAATTTGCATTAATTATTTTGTTAAAATAAAATACTTTTTATCATAGTTGCATTAAAAATCAAACAGGATCTGTAAGATTTTTTACACCATTTTTTGTATTTATTTTTACATCACAAGTTTTGTATCTACTGTATATCACTAAAAGTCACAAAAGCAGCAACAGATTGATTGGATCATTCTTAAGTTTATGCCCTTATGAACTGCAGAGTAGCTCTGTACTACTGTGAAAATACAAAAATTAGCTTTGTAAGATTAGTCGCTTTCAAACAAATGTTCAATTTCAAATTTTTTTGATAGTTTAAATGTCCCCTGTTGTGACGCAAAGAGGGGAATTGGAAATACTGTCTGTCCATCTGTCCATTACGTGAGCTGGAAATCTAGAAAAATATGTGAGGAATGACTTCCATTTTGGTTTGTGGCTGCACCTAAGCATAAGAAAGGTCCCTATCGAAATTTATGTTGCCATGTCAAAATGCAAGATGGCCATCTTTACAAACATTTGAAGAAACTGTAGTTTTTTTTCAGCCATTTTTATGAATATTGCTTAAAGTATAGTTTTCTCAAATGATTGGGTCAAAAATATCCAAAGTGCCAACTTCCATTTTGGCGTGTGGCTGCATCTATGCATAACAGCTGGAATAATGTATTTTGTCTCATTTGTTTTTATACACATGCATTTTGTAATCCTTGTATTTCCTCTTGAATTGTGCAATATTTTTAATCTCTACATCGAAGTCATTCCACAAAATCACTCCCATGAACTGATGTGCACATGCTCTATTCTTAAATACGTTTTGAATATTTTTTGGAAGCATATTATTTCTAGCTTTGAACGTCACCTGTGCAGTTTTAAATTGTACCAAATCCATAAATTTCATAAGCTGTGATTAAAAAAAAAAAAAGAAAAGTTGATTGCTGTGTTCATAATACCAAACATTGCGTACCATCCTTGTTGCTCTTTTTTGCATCATGCATATGTTTTTGTAAAGAACTTTTGTATACATTATTTCAAACTTCAACACAATAGTCTAAATATGGCAGTAACAGGGTGTAATAAAGAGAGTGCAAAGATTTAATGTTCAAGATATGTCATGTTTGTCCCAATATCCCTATGGTTTTAGCCATCTTATTACACAAGTGTTTAATTGGGGGTTTCCAACAAAACTTGTAATCCAAAATTACACCCAGAAACTTGTTTTCAAAATTACAACTAATTTTTAAAATATAATCTTAACAACCAAGACCCCCCCACCCCCCAAAAAACATTGGTTACGTACTGTAACCCCATATTCTGTGTATAGGCGCAGCCCTTTAAGGCTATCACTAGTGGGTTTATCCCTACACGCGCAGTGCAGCACTGGAAAAAGTCCACGCCCACCTACTGTGTGGGCCTCATCCCCGGTCCGTATAAATTACGGTGAGACCGGGTAATCTGCTCCCAAATAGCTTTTTTTCTTCAGCCATTTAGGAACCAGTGAGGCCCAGAGCTTAAAGGGCTGCGCCAATACTCATAGAATCTGGGGTTACAGTACGTAACCAACATTCTATTTTGTATAGGCTTCACCCTTTAAGGCTATCGCTAGTGGGTTAAAGACGAAGCAGGATGTAATCTATGCCTCACTGGGTCCACTCAGACACAACATGAAGCACCTTTGCACAAAAAAAAAAAATCATCACTCAGCCTTCTGTGTGCATAATTACGCGCTGCGGAATTGCGTGCTCCATGCGCTGGAGCACACCGGAGAAAATCTCTGGTGATGAAAAGAGGCTGAGATAGCAGACCTGCTGCTGTGAATAGGAACAACTGAGGATACAAATTGTAACAGTGTAACGATAAACAGAGTAGACCAACAGCTCCTCAGGATGAACCGATGAATAACGATAAAATCAGAAGTCATGAACTTGTGACTGATAATAAATATTTCACTGCGACTGCATGTAGGCAGGTGTGAGCTCAAAAGTGAGGCTCCATGAAACAAATAATAATCATTCTGTCAGAACCCTGAGAACAGAATGGGTCATGGAGAAAGTAGAAACATCACATAGATAAAAACAAATAATTGAACATGGTGATGACCAGGCAGCCGCCATACAAATATCCTTCACTGTCATCCCTCCATGCAGAGCCAAGTAGGATAAAACCCTCTGGTGGAATGCGCTGAGATTCTCTGGAGGATCCAGTCCAGATGAACTGTAAACTTTAGAAATAGTCTCACACAACCAGTGTGAGAGGCGCTGGGTGGATGGAGAATGTCCTGAAGAGCTGTCCCAGTAATGCACGAACATACGCTGAAAATGGCGCAGTGCGGCCGTGTGCGCCACGTAACATGAAAAATGCGCGCATGGGACAGAAGGTGAGATGTTGCTTCCTCCTCAGAATTATGAGGAAGAAGATAAAACACATCCAAGGTCATCAATCTCGATCTGAATGAGCTTGTGATGTTTTCAGAGCAGGGATAAAACGCAGTACAGCTAAACTGCTGTCAGCTTGAATTCTGAGACATGAGGGAGTAACAGAGAGAGCAAACAAACACTCACTCTCTTTGCCGACGTCAGAACTAACAGCAGGGCTGTTTTAGTGACATAATTTAAGTGAAACCTGATCTAAAAAGCTCAGAATGAGCTTTGATCAGAGCGTGCAGGACCATCATTAGGTCTCACTGTGGAGCTAGTGGGCGTGACACCGGTCTGTGTCTCCATACACCTTTCAGGTAACGCTTCATCAACGGGTGATTAAGAACTGTTTTGTCACCGAAGCCCTCATGACAGGAAGAAATAGCTGCAGCATAAGTTTTAGTTGTACTGAACGCTAGATCTCCATCCATCAGCTGGTGCAGAAAGGACAGCATGCCACCTAGTGGCCATGAGATGGCCTCCATGCCTTTCTCTGCCCACCAGCGCTGAAATACTGTCCACTTAATGTGTACAGCATTGTGGTGGAAGCAGCTCATGTGCCCTGAACGTACGCACCACATCCTGTGGGAGGCCCATCTTTTCTAAACGGATCTGTTCAGCGGACAGACCCAAAGATGCTGACCTATTTCTGGGTAACTCCTGATCACTCTTCCTGCCTGGAGGAGATCGCCCCCCCACAGCAGTTTCCACAGCCAACCCGATATCAGTCGCTGCAGACTCGGGAACCACGGAGCGCATATGCGTTGGCGGGGATCGCCCCTCGACATGATATCCACTCGCCTGTTCAAGATGCTGGGAATGTACACTGCTCTGATGGAGAGCAGGTTTTTGTGTGCCCAACACAACAGCTGTTTCGCGATGCGTAACAGTTAGGTTGAGCGCACGTCTCCCTGACGGTTTATGTAAATTACCGTCACCTTGTTGTCTGTGTGGATCAGAAAATACTGATCCCGCAGCAAGGGCAAAATGCTTAGTCACGTTTCAAACCGTGAAAACGTTTCAACACATTTATGTGAATCGACATGTGGTCCAGCCACTGTGCTCCCACTGCTTGGGACAGACACATTCCTCCCAGCTTGACAGGAACGTGTCTGTGAAAACTGAGACGTGTGATGTAGGCCTGCTGATGGGAACTCCCTCTGACAGAATGAGAGGGTTTCCCCATTGATTCAGATCGGTTCCCACGGAGGGGGGCACAAAGATAATCCACCTCTTCTGGCACACAGGATCTATGCGCAGGCGGGCAAACCATTTCTGAAGGCGTCTCATGTGAAGTAGGCCCAGTGGAACCACGATGTGGGCCGCTGACATAGTCCCAGGAGTCATATGACAGGCAGAACTGTCGCTATGCTACAGGGTTTGACATGGCGGAGCTGGGTTTGACACGGCGGAGCTGAGCTGATAGAGCTTTGGCTCTCAGCTGTGATAAACGGGCTCTCATTGTAGTTGAGTTTAGCTCCACTTCCAGATAAACAATCATCTGGGACGAATGAACGGAAGCTTTTCTCAGTTTATAGAAACCCCAGGTTTAGCAGGTGTAACACTAGCATTTTGGTCTGTGCGACAGCTTTCTAACTGGACCGAGCTAATAAGAGCAGATCGTCCAGACAAAAAGATTTCTCATTCCTACCATGTTTAACGACTACAGTGCCATCTCCACACATTTCGAGAACGTGCGTGGGGTGTTTCAGAATGATGGAAATGTGAAAATATGTGTTCTTCATATCTATAGAGGTGAAAACCAGTTGTTCTGGTGAAGTTGTCCAGCAGCTGTTTGTCAGCATGTGGAATTGTCTCCCCATGATCGAATTGCTGAACATGAACAGGTCGAGAATGGGTCTCATCCCTCCAGTTTTTTATCAGGACTATGAAGTAGCGGGAGAAAAAAAAACAGTATTTTCCTCTCCGTTGGGAACTCTGGAAATCACGTTTTTCGTCGGAAATTACTGAACTTCTGACTAGTGAAACGAGCTCTGTTCTGTACAAGACCGAACCGTCTCTATAATCCCTCTTAACGGTGGGGGTTGAGCTGCGAACTGCACTGTGTAACCCCTTCTGATCGGACGGTCCATCCATCTGTCCACTAGCTGCCACTCTGAGTAACGCTCGGAGAGCCGGCACACATTTGTGTTGTCATGTTTCTCATGAACGTCAACTAGACTAAAAATCCTTACTGCCATCAATCGCTCCGGAGATTCTCCGGGGGGAACCCGAGGAGGGCTCAGACAGAAAAAAGGGCTGTATGTGTGCCTCTGTGCTGAGCCCAGGCTGCGGTTTCACATAGAGCTGAGGTGAGCTGGCGCGCACTGAGAGGAGGTGTGAGCGCTTTCTGAGTGAGATGCCATTTCAGTGGAGACTGCAGCTGTTGTGGAGAAAACACGTTTACTCCCGTTGCGTTGTGAATGGGCAGAAAATAGCAGAAATTAAAAATGGGCTCTGGCTGAAAACGAGGGATTTTACCAAACTTGGTCTGCTGAAAAAAACATAATTTTAGCTGACATGGCAGACGAGTGTTTTGTGATATTTACTGAACTGCGGTGCCATTTAAAACGCTGTTTAGAAGTTACTGGCTTGTTCTGTGTGGGGAATGTGTGAAGAGAGGCAGCTGTGAGATCAACTGATCTGACAGTCTCAGATGAAAACTTTACTTTCAGAGGTGTTTCTGTTTTATATCAAAAAACATACATCATAAAAAAAACCACATACCTTCCCCTCAAGGATCTGTTACCTGGTGGAGGGGGCCGGCGGAGGAGCGGGGCGTGAAGTCGCTGCCACAGCTGTGGAGCACCTCTGCTGCTGTTGCTGGCCAAGGCGGTCCCTCCAGCGGCCGGCGCGGGCGGAGGACTGTGACGTCACCAGATAGCGTACAGTCTCTGAGACCTCCTCGGACCTCTGCGATTTCTCAAGGATGGTCCTGAAGTTGGCCCCGAACAGCGCCTTTGGGGTGATGGGGCCCTCCAGCAGGTCTTTCTGCAGCCTGTCGGACAAGAATGGCGAGAGGCGAAGCCAAGTGGTCTTCTGGATCATGGTCATCCAGGCGGCGATACGGGACAGGCAGACCGCAGAGGTGGCACATGTTTAAGATGACATCAGCGGCTTTACAGAGAGAGCTCTTTGTCTCCTCCAGCAGGTCTGCTTCCTCCAGCCTCTTAGAGATGCTGTAGGCCAGCAGGGCGACGTTGTTGTTCGCTGCGGCCGTCTGGAATGAGCACTGGTGAGCTCGGTTGGAGACCTTGTCACCAGCTGGTCATGCTTCCCTGGAAGGACAGGTTGCTGGTCCATCCTGGAAGCTTTTGCCCCAAGTGCCACCTCCAGGCTTGGCTCCGGGGGGGAACCAAGGGAAAAACACCGATCAGTAAAACCCTCCACTCTGGAGATGGAGGCGAAGGTGGAGACTGATATCTTTAGCTTGCCGGGCCCAGTTGCAGCCTCGTTCCAGTGTGATGTCACAGCTGGCCAGCGAGGCCAGATGGGGTCAGGGCGACGAGCTGGGGCGGAGCCAACCTTGCCGCCAGATCATCCGATCAGGGCGGAGGGAGTCGAGGGACGGAAAGTCCCTTGTGTTAACATCCTCCTGGGCATCGACGGCTGGGAGCAGTCTGGTCGCCGACATGGAAAGATCTGAGGTGGCTGAGCATCCGCCCGGCCGCTCGTCTTCCGTCACTACACTCCAGGAGGGAGGGGACAGCTCCGCATCGCCTTTCTCGGTGGAATCATTCGTTTGACTGCGTGACTTTGCGTCAAAGAAGGCGTTGTCTCGCGCATAGCGTCCCGCCACAGAAAAAAACACTCAGCGGAGCTGCTGCCAACAACGCCTTTTTCAAGAGGCTCATCCGATTCACCGCGAGGAAAAACTCGTTAGAAAAGGCGATGGCGTCATCCAGCGAGTAGCGGCCCTCCATGGAAAAACAAACATTCAGCGGGGCTGCTACTAACATCGCATTTTTCAAGGAAATCATTTGATTACCGCAAGGAAAAAAACGTTATAAACGGTGATGGCTTCGTCTAGCGGGTAGCGGTCCGCCACGGAAAAGCACTCCTCGGCGCTTACCTTGAACAAGGCTGCTCGTCTGCTTCTCCTCGGGGAGGAAGAGCTCACCGGGACGGCAGGAGGTTGGCATGACAGAGACCCAGGCATCCTTAGCAAAGGTTGTCCCGGTCAAAGCTGGACAACTTTTCCTTTTTCGTTCTTCTGACAGGGCTAGCTTGCTGGCTGAAGAAAAAATGGGAGCCGATTACCCGGTCTCACCATAATTTATACGGACCAGGATGAGGCCCACACACTAGGTGGGTGTGGACTAAAGTTTTCAGTGCTGCGTGCGTAGGGATAAGCCCACTATCGATAGCCTTAAAGGGCGAAGCCTATACAAAATAGAACTGCATGTTAAAGACTTTAATCCCATCCAATCCTGCCAAAATTCTGTCATTTACAGATTGGGTATGTGCCTGGGATACAGATGACAATCAGTCAGTTTCAGAGTTCTACATCTGTCCATGAAGCACACAAAATCACCATCTTCCATTCCAGCCTTCCCACCACCATGACAGAGATGTCAAAAGATGTCAAGGACAAAACAGTAGATTTGCACAAAGCTGGGATAGAGCAAGAAACTTGGTGAGGTGACAACAAGCTGGCAATCCAGCTGTAGTCTTTCTGTATGGAATTATTATTATTATTATTATTATTATTAATATTATTATTATTATTGTTGTGCACGTGTACGTTTTCTCTGGGTACTCTGGTTTCCTTCCACAGTCCAAAAATATGCATGTAAGGATCCACCATGAAGCTCAAGACTGAGAATGATTGCTTATTAGTGGTCCAAGTCCATGGAGGCAAGGGAGCCTGGCTTTATTGTAGTAATGTTTCTATCATACCAGAAGAGCATGGAATCCTATTGAAATGTTTTTGTTTTATTGTTATTAGGGATGTACGATATTGGATTTTTGTCTGATATGCCGATATGTTAAAACATATTTGGCCGATGACCAATACCGATATAAATTCATTCCTTTGTCCAAACGTAGCCCTCTTATTGGCTTATTTGCTACAAAAATTGTGCAACAGCTGTAATTCAATTCAAAAATACTTTACTAATCCCAGAGGGAAATTAAATGTTGTAACACATCATCCTGGTTTCATTAAAGAGTTGTTCTAGATGCTGATGGCTGTGGGCAGGAAGGATCTCTTGTAGTGGTCTGTCTTACAGCTGTCTTAAGAGCTGGTGACATATATTCAGTAACAGCCATATGATATGCATAGCTTTTTAACTTATGTTAAATGAAAAGTGTTAAATGTTATTTATTAGCATTAGTCACCTACGATGCTGTCTCACTTGTGGAGGCTTGTTCCAGGTTCCTAGCTGCAGTGTGGGATCATCTGCACTCCTGTGCATGAAGGACAGCCTTTTTGTTTTAAGGGAAAAACAAAATGTGCTAACTGTTTTATATTAATCTATTGGTGGTGCCACTACTAGGGTGGAGACCTTTTGGTCTCTAACCTCTGTAATTTTGGCCCCACCAAAAATTATTTTATTGTTCTTTAATCAAAACATTTTTTGTGACACTGAGCTACAATCTTGATTTTAAAAAGTTGAGGAGAAAAATAGCATAGCATCTCAGGTAATTTTACGCGTATCAACAGCAATTTTATTGAAAACTGTCAGGGGATGACGTGTCGGTGGGCTTGGAGCCCTGTCATAACTGCTTGCAGTACTAGTTATGTTTATATTTTTTCCATTTCCAAATAAGTACACCTGCACTCAAGCCCTTTTCACCAAAATTATTTCTGATGGTCTTGTTTCCCAGTCCAGCCCAGGTTTAATATCTTGTCCTTAACAATATTTGTCAGCACGTTGTTCCTGTCTATGATGGTGGAGAGGTTGTAATGTGCACATTATACTCATCTGAGTTGAGATGAGCTCAGGAGATTCTGAAATTGATCTGATTGGCTGGAAATCAAGCTGGACTCTAGTAAATAAAATACTTGCGAACAAAGATTTGCAAATTAATTTTTAAGTTTTACATTTTTTTTTTCTGGATTTCTTGTTGACATTTTTTCACTCTAATACAATGAAACTCTCTAGTATAATAGAAGCCATGACTCTGATTTTTTTCGTACGAGGGTAGTCTTTAAAATTCTTCTGTTGACCTTCAAATGCTTAAATGGCCTCGCACCCCTTTACCTCTCTGAGCTTCTGGAACCTTACGTTCCCTCTCGGGCCCTGAGATAATCTGATCAGCTACTTTTGGCTGTTCCAAAAACAAGACTGAAGCTCAGAGGAGATCGGGCTTTTTCAGTCATGGGCCTCAAACTCTGGAACAACCTGCCCCCCAACATCAGGCAGGCCACTTCCATTCCTCACTTCAAATCCCTGCTTAAAACACATCTGTTCTTGCAGGCATTTCACACAGTGTAAATTGATCTAGTGTTTTTTTTTAATCTGTGACCCTATGTTTTAAATGCTTTTCATTAATTTTTCAGTTATTATTATTAGTGTATTGTAATTTTTTTCTCTCCTTAATTTTACTCTCATTGATTGTTGTTGTTGTTGTTGTTGTTGTTGTTGTTGTTGTTGTTAAGCACTTTGATAACAGGTTCTGTTTTAAATGTGCTCTATAAATAAAGTTGACTTGACTTGACTTGACTTGATTTTGGTTGCACCTTCAGATTTACCTAGAATGGGTCAAAGCCACTAATTTTCATCTGAACAGACATGAGACCAAAGAACACCTAGCACAGAGTTCTCTCACAGCATTAATTAAAACAACAGTGCATGTTTACATTCTGAATGTAAACAAGAATCTTCAAACATTTTCCGTTTGAAAAGAAAAAGATATTCTTATAGCGTATCAAGCAGAGTCTGACAGCTGTAGCTGCATGCTGAGTCAATAAGACAGATTAACAATCTTATAAAGTGAAAACAATGACCTGCTGGCACTTCACATGGCAAATATTTACTATATTAAGAAAGGATATTAAGTAGCTTTTCATAAAGTAAAAATCAACTTTGACACTGATTAGGAATTTTTCTTATTTACTCTGACTTAACTGACAAAACTCTAAAGTAGAAAAGTAAATACAAAGTAATTTAGAAGACGGCTGTGACTGAAACAAGTAGCATACTCTGTTAGATGTGTTCAAGAGTGTTTGCTAGCAGCATTTTGGTCTTTTGCCTGTCTTCACTAAATTGTCCATGTCACATGTCCCATCCAACAGTGACAATGCAGAGGACAAGGAGACTGAGGTCAAACAGGAGTCCAGTGGTAAGCACATGCATGAATATTTCCTTCTTTTAAGTGTGTTGCAGTCTGTGATACTGACACTTTTAGCAAAAACAAAAAGTCCAATTCAACAGTTTAATACAATGAAATGAGTTAAAATATCCCCCATCTTCTGACTTGAGAGCTTTCCCCCTCACTTTTTGACTTCGGGTCTGACTTGGGCAAAGGTTAGAGAAATTGAGCCAGTGATCAGGAGGTTGCAAAAATTTTGGTGGTAAAGGTGAAGTACCACAGCACTCGCTGTGGTGACCTCCAGGAAGGGAACAGCGGAAAAAAAAAGAAGACAAAAAACAATGAGCTGTGTGAGCGTGAGGCTGAATGACTGGTATAACATGTCAATATCATGCAGGGACACTATGTGTGGATCGGACTCAACTGCAGGTCCCCAGGACCGCTCTACTCATTGTGAACTTGGATGTGAAGGAGTCTGGGCGTGATCACATGACCCTCGACCCCCAGCTTAGGAGCATGCTGCAGTGGGTGGCTGCTTCCATGGCCAACATCCCTCAGATTCAGCTGAGTGCCGACAGAAGACTCCAGCAGGTGAATAGTTTATATTTGTTATGGATGTTTTTTTTTTATTTGCACAAAACTGAAACAACACGCGTAAAGGAAAAGATAAAAAAAAATGTGCATGAGAGTTGATTGTGACAAACAAATTGTGTATAAAAACTGAATGCAATGATGTGGAGATGGCAAATGTCAATATTTTATTCGTAATATAACATAGTTGACAGATCAAAAGTTTAATCTGAGTCAATGTAACATTTTAAAGGAAAAATATGTTGATTCAAAATTTCACAGTGTCAACAAATCCCAAAAAAGTTGGGACAAGTAGCAATAAGTGGCTGGAAAAAGGAAACTGAGCATATAACGAACAGCTGGAAGACCAATTAACACTAATTAAGTCAATTGACAACATGATTGGGTATAAAAAGAGCTTCTCAGAGTGTCAGTGTCTCTCAGAAGCCCACATGGTAAGAGGATCACCAATTCCACCATTGTTGCGCAGAAAGATAGTGCAACAATACCAGAATGGTGTTACCCAGCGTAAAATAGCAAAGACTTGTAAGTTATCATCATCAACCATGCATAACATCATCAAAAGATTCAGAGAATCTGGAACAATCGCTGTGCGTAAGGGTCAAGGCCGTAAAACTCTACTGGATGCTCGTGATCTCCGGGCCCTTAAACGTCACTGCACCTCAAACAGTAATGCCACTGTCAAGGAAATCTTCCGGTAAGATGGCGCCCGTGTACATGGCCTGCAATCTACCTCTGACGATACTGTTTGGATTATTTCTGCTTTTTTCGTTTTTTGTCTGGGATATCAACTCGCTGCTTGTGTATGACCGACAAAAGCTCCTCGATCTTCTGTATCTGCTGTCGCTGATTCGGACCATTTTGATCGTGACTCGGGACCCCCCCCCTCTTCCACCCCTTCTGGCAGACGTGCCTGCTTGTTTACGCTGGGCCCCAAGCCTGCCTTCTCGGAGATATCGCTTCAGACGCCGGGGTAAACGTGCCGGCCGGCTGGTAAAACTCAAAGCTCTGCGTGGTCAACGTTTCCACAGCCAGCTTCCTACGTGCCCGGACCAGGGAAAATATGGGTGTTGTCTACCGGCCCAGCGCTTGGACCGTCCTGGAGGCGCTGTTTTTGAAAATCTGCAACCGTTGGCGCGCACCACCCCCACCATGGCTGGTTCTGTGTCGGACCAGATCAGGACGTGCCTCATCAACACAAGGTCTGTTGCCAATAAGACTTTTATCCTAAATGACTTTTTTAAAGACGAGGGACTAGATTTTCTTTTTCTCACTGAATCCTGGTTGCCTTTGGGTGATTCAAGCGCCTTGGTGGAACTTTTACCTCCTGACTGTCTGTGTTTTAATGCCCCGCGGCCATCAGGTCGGCGGGGTGGTGGAATATTAACTGTATTTAAATCAAACTTTTCCTGTAAACAGTTGTTCACCCTCATGCCCTGCTCCAGTTTTGAGCTGAGTGCTTTTGAACTCGGACATTCCCCTCCCGTTCTGTGTGCGATTGTTTATCGCCCCCCTCGTTCCAAGGACTTCATAAGTGAATTCTCTGATTTTCTGGCTTACATCACACCAAGATATGATCACTTTATTATCGTTGGTGACTTTAATATTCACGTCTGTTGTTAGGAGAAGCCGTTAGTGAAGGACTTCCTTGATTTGTTGGACTCATTTAATTTAACTCAACATGTAAATGCTCCCACCCAACAACACGGTCACACTCTGGATCTCATTTTAACACGTGATGTCTCTGTTTGTAATTTGGTAATCGGTGACAACGTTCTCTCAGACCACATGCCTGTCTTGTTTGATATCATCCCGCCTTGTCCTACTGCTAAGTCGTGATTCTGCACGTACTTCACGCGCCATTAACCGTTTCACTGCTGCACGTTTTACTGAAGCTTTTAGCTCTGAGAGGATCGATCAGCTCTCAGTGTCTCTCTCCACCGAGGAGCTAACCTCTCAGCTTAACTCTGTTTGCTTAAGTATTCTGGACCGTGTTGCTCCCGTTAAAACCAGGAAAACAACACTTTTATCAGAACCATGGCTTAATGACGTCACTCAAGCCGTTAGACAGCAGTATAGGAGAGCAGAACGCAGGTGGAGGAAAGACAGGCTGCAGGTTTCTTTTCAAATCCTAAAGGAGAGTTGGCGTCATTATCAGAAGGCAGTTAAAGCCGCCAAATCGAAGTTCTTTTCTGCGATAATTGCCTCAAACTCCCACAACCCCCGAGCCCTTTTTTCCACCCTGAACTCAGTTCTACACCTCAGTGAACATTCACCTCTAGAAGCTTCAACTGAGCTGAGTGAAAACTTCCTCCATTTCTTTTCTGAAAAAGTTGCAAACACCCGGGCACTCATTTCTCCACCTGCTCATGATCCGTCCATCCCATCTCATTGTGTTGCTGTTCTGGACCACTTCGAGCCCATCTCTCTGTCTTCCCTGGAGCAGGTCATGTGCGGCATGAAGCCATCTGGCTCCCCTTTTGACGTTGTCCCCCCTCGACTCCTTAAGGAGCTTCTTCCTGTTCTTGGCCCTCCTGTTCTTGGCATTGTGAACAGCAGCTTAGCCTCAGGTGTGGTGCCAATAACTTTTAAACTGCTGTCCAACCTCTCCTGAAAAAACCTAGCCTTGACCCCTCAGTCATGTCCAACTTCCGGCCTGTCTCCAGACTCCCATTTGTCGCTAAACTGCTGGAAAAAATAGTGGAGTCCCAGCTGAAATGCTTTCTAGAGGATAATGCCATCTTAGAGCTATTCCAGTCTGGCTTTAAACCTCTCCACAGCACTGAAACTGCTCTACTCAAGGTTTTTAACGACATTCTCCTATTCACAGACGCTGGTGATTCTGTGCTCCTTCTCTTACTGGACCTCACATCTGCCTTTGATACAATCGACCACGAGATCCTCGTTGCGAGGTTAGAGCAGTGGGTGGGCATCACTGGGTCAGCCCTCGAATGGTTTAGATCTTACCTCGCTGACAGGTCCTTTTGTGTCTCCATCAAAGATTTTAGTTCAGCCTCGGCAGCGCTTAAATGGGGGGTACCGCAAGGGTCCATCCTTGGTCCTCTTTTATTTTCTTTATACCTGCTGCCACTAGGTGCTATTTTCAGGAAACATAACATACCTTTTCATTTCTACGCCGACGACTGCCAAATCTACTTCCCCCTCAGACTCAACGGTACTCGCTCTATTCAACCGTTACTGGACTGCGTGGCTGACATCAGAGATTGGATGGCTTTAAATTTCTTGAGTTTCAACGAGAAGAAATCTGAAGTTATGCTGTTTCCTCCCAATGACACAATCACCAACCACTGCATCGACCTATCCGTTCCATCACCGTTAGTGAAACAAAGAGTCACTAATCTAGGAGTGATACTTGACCCTTCTCTGAAACTCAACAATCATGTAAATATGATTGTTAAATCCTGCTTTTTCCAGCTGAGGCGACTGTCTAAGCTGAAGCCCATATTGTCCAAAAATAACCTGGAGACAGTAATTCATGCATTCATTACATCCAGGCTCTACTATTGCAACTCACTCCTTTTTGGTATCAGTCAGACCTCCATAGCTAGACTCCAACTGGTCCAAAATGCAGCAACCCAGTTTTTGACCAGCACAAGCAAAAGAGAGCACATTACACCTGTTTTGGCCTCCCTACACTGGCTTCCGGTTCACCTTCGAATCAAATTCAAAATACTCTTGTATGTCTATAAATCACTAAACAGCTCTGCCCCCTCCTATCTTACTGATCTGCTCCAGCCGTATGTCCCACCACGTTCTCTCAGATCAGCAGACCAGTTACTCCTAACAGTCCCAGGAACCCCTCTCAAGCGCAGAGGTGACAGGGCCTTCTCTGTAGCAGGCCCAAGACTTTGGAATGAGTTACCTCTGCTCGTTAGACAGGCCCCCTCCCTCACAGTTTTTAAATCTCGCTTAAAAACACTTTTATTCCCTGGCTTTCTGCACTGTGTGATCTGTGCTGAGTCTGTGTGCATCACACTGTGTTAGTCATGTTGCGGTTGTTGTTGTTATCCATTATTGTTTTTGTCGGTTTCTACTTTTTGGTGTCCTGTTATGTAATCTGTTGCTATGTGCTTGTTCTGTTTGTCCCTATACAGCACTTTGGTGTGCTTTGTCACTGTTTAAAGTGCTTTATAAATAAATTGGTATGGTATGGTATTTTTTTCATTTTTTTTCATTTAGCCTTTATTTATCCAGGTTAGTCTCATTGAGCCACAAGAACTCATTTTCAAGAGAGACCTGTTTAGGGAGCACATGGTGGGGGTTAAGGGCCTTGCTCATGGGCCCAGGGTGGGGCGAATGATGGTGGGCTGTATGGTAAGGAAATGAGCTGTATGGTAAGGAAATAACAGAATGGGCTCAGGAATACTTCCAGAAAGCATTGTCAGTGAACACAATCCACCGTGCCATCCGCCGTTGCCAGCTGAAACTCTACAGTGCGAAGAGGAAGCCATTTTCAAGCAAGCTCCACAAGCTCAGATGTTTGCCCTGGGCCAGGAGTCATTTAAAATGGAGTGTGCAAAATGGAAGACTGTTCTGTGGTCAGATGAGTCACGATTTGAAGTTCTTTATGGAACACTGGGACGCCATGTCATCCGGACCAGAGAGGACAAGGATAGCCCAAGTTGTTATCAACGCTCCGTTCAGAAGCCTGCATCACTGATGGTATGGGGTTGCATGAGCGCTTGTGGCATGGGCAGCTTGCATGTCTGAAAAGGCACCATTAATGCAGAGAACTATGTTCAGGTTCTAGAACAACATATGCTCCCATCTAGACGTCATCTCTTTCAGGGAAGACCCTGCATTTTTCAGCACGATAATGCCAGACCAAATTCTGCAGCAATCACAACATCATGGCTACGTAGGAGAAGGATCCGGGTACTGAAATGGCTAGCCTGCAGTCCAGATCTTTCACCTATAGAGAACATTTGGTGCATCATAAAGAGGAAGGTGCGACAAAGAAGGCCCAAGACGATTGAACAGTTAGAGGCCTGTATTAGACATGAATGGGAGAGCATTCCTATTTCTAAACTTGAGAAACTGGTCTCCTCTGTCCCCAGACGTCTGTTGAGTGTTGTAAGAAGAAGGGGGGATGCCACACAGTGGTAAACATGGACTTGTACCAACTTTTTTGGGATTTGTTGATGCCATGAAATTTGGAAACAACAGATTTTTCCCTTAAAATGATACATTCTCTCAGTTTAAACTTTTGATCTGTGATTTGTGTTCTATTCTGAATAAAATATTAGAAGTTGGCACCTCCACATCATTGCATTCAGTTTTTATTCACAATTTCTGAATTCTTCAAGTTCTAGAATTGCGCCGCTCAAGGTGGCTGCATGTTGGAGTAGCTCTGTTACTTTCAATCTGAGATATTACTTTTGAAATCTTTAATTCCTCTTTTTTCTGGATATAAATTGCTTTTTTTTTGGATGATTATTTCCTCTGGTGTCAGATGCTTTGCAGCTGGAAGGATTTTTACAGAAATATCTTTGCTTTTGGACATTTGTTATGATGCATAACCATAACAACAAGGTTGTTTCTTACAACCGGGAGCAGCTGATTAACATCTCCAAAGCTCAAATAATATCTCAACTACAGCCTCAAATCCCAAATGAGTTGAAAAGTAGGCGTCGTTGATGCAGAGCAAGAGCAAAGAAGAGGGAGAAAGAGAGAAGAATGCAGTTTAAACCATCTCTTCCATCAATCAGGATGGGCAATGCGAGATTGCTGGGAAACAAGTTGGATGAACTTCAAGCCCTAACAAGGACCCATCCAGAGTATCGGGAATGCAGTGTTATGCGTTTCACTGAGACATGGCTGCAGGATCATATCCCCGACTCCAGCGTTTCTCTGCCAGGCTTTCTGACCATACGAGCAGATAGAGATTTAAAGAGGAGTGGCAAAAGGAAAGGAGGTGAGTTGGCAGTGCTTGTGATCTACAGATGGTGTAATCCTGGACATGTTACTGTGAAGTGTCGTCTCTGCAGTCCAGATATTGAACTTTTAGCCCTAAGTTGTAGTCCATATTATTTGCCAAGAGAGTTCACCAGTGTTATTTTGGCAACTGTTTACATTCAACCAAATGCTGTTGCCGAGACTGCGTGTGATGTCATCAGCTCCGACGTTGCTAAGCTACAGACACAACACCCTAGTGCGTTTGTTGCAGTATCTGGTGATTTTAATCATGTCTCTCTCTCTGCTACACTTCCGACATTCCAACAGTTTGTCAGCTGCTCTACCAGAGAAAACAAAACGCTGGACTTGTTTTATGCAAATGTGAAGGATTCATACATCGTTCATACACGTAGACTGGGATGCACTGTGACAGCCACATGGAGAGGACATTAATGCCATGACTGAGTGTGCGACCGACTATATAAACTTCTGTGTAAACATCATCATCCCCACCAGAACAGTGAGATGCTTCCCCAATAACAAACCCTGGATTACCACTGACCTGAAGGAACTGCTAAACCAGAAAAAAAGAGCCTTCAGGGAGGGAGACAGGGAATTATTGAGGAGCACACAGAAGCAACTTAAAGTCAAGATAAGAAACGGCAAGGAGGTGTACAAGAAGAAGCTGGAGAGCAAGCTCCAACAGAACAATATCAGAGAGGTCTGGTCAGGGATGAAACGGATCACAGGCTTCAAGCAGAAGGAGGATCAGAAGGATGGAAGCCTGGACAGAGCCAATGAACTGAACACATTCTTCAATAGGTTCAGTTCAGGAACAAGCTCGGCATCCTCCTCTCTTGCCCACAGCCAAATATACATACCACCCTCCATTGACCCAAGGCTGTCCTGTCATACCTCAAATATTGTATCTACCACCTCAGTCATGGACCCTTCTTCTAGATATTGGTCTTCAACCAAATCAGAAGATGCTGATACCTCCTTTGCCTCCCCCCTCTGCGTCTCCAGAAGTCAGGTGAGGAAGCAGCTGGAGAGACTGAACCGGAATAAGGCTGCAGGTCCAGATGGTGTCAGTCCCAGAGTACTGAAGGTCTGTGCAGAGCAGCTCTGTGGGGTTCTGCAGCATCTCTTCAACCTTAGCCTGACCCAGGAGAAGGTTCCAGTGTTGTGGAAAACATCATGTCTTGTTCCAGTGCCAAAGAAAACTCACCCATCAGTCCTCAATGACTATAGACCTGTTGCCCTGACATCCCACATCATGAAGGTCCTAGAGAGACTTCTGCTGACCCACCTGACTAGACAAACAAGCACATATCAGGACCCACTGCAGTTTGCTTATCAGTGTGGACTTGGAGTTGAAGATGCCATCATACACCTGCTTCAGCAAACTCACTGTCATCTAGAAAAGGCAGACAGCACTGTGAGAGTCATGTTCTTTGATTTCTCCAGTGTATTTAACACAATCCAGCCTGATTTGCTTTGTCAGAAACTTCAGAAGACTCAGGTGGAGGCCTCAACAATTGCCTGGATCAAAGACTACCTGACGGACAGACCACAGTTTGTGATACTGAAGGGTTGTGTGTCTAACCATGTGGTCAGTAGCTCAGGAGCACCACAGGGGACTGTACTCTCACCATTCCTTTTCACTCTGTACACCTCAGATTTCCAGTACAAAACAGACTCCTGTCATCTGCAGAAATATTCTGATGACTCTGCAGTAGTCTGGTGTATCAGACATGGACAAGGAGCTGAGTACAGGGAACTGGTGGACCGCTTTGTGGCATGGTGTGGAAACAATCATCTCATCTTGAATGTGAACAAAACAAAGGAGATGATTGCAGATTTCAGGAGAATCAGGAACAGGTCCAACCCTATTTCCATCATGGGAGAAGAAGTGGAGGAGAAGTATAAATACCTTAGAGTTCACCTGGACAATAGACTGGACTGGAAATGCAACAGTGAAGCCGTCTACAAGAAGGGACAGAGCAGACTGTACTTCTTGAGGAACCTGAAGTCCTTCAACTTTTGCAGCAAAATGCTGCATATCTTCTATAAGTCTGTTGTAGAGAGTGCCATCTCTTCTGCCATCATCTGCTGGGGGAGCAGCACCAAAGCAAGTGACTTTAAAAAGATCAACAAGCTCATAAAGAAGGCTGGCTCAGTTCTGGGGACTCCTAGAACCTTTGGAGATGATTGTACAAAGAAGGATTCTTCATAAAGTGAAGAACATTATAGACAACCCTCAGCATCCTCTTCATCAGACTGTCATACAACAACAGAGTGTCTTCAGTCAGAGGCTTCTTCAAATACGTTGTAGGACAGACCGCTACAAGAGATCCTTCCTGCCCACAGCCATCAGCATCTATAACAACTCATTAATGAAACCAGGAAGATGAGTTACCACAACATATAATTTCTCTCTGGGATTAATAAAGTATTTTTGAATTGAATTTAATTGAATTTGTTTAGTGTCCCAACTTTTTTGGGAATCCTGTTTGTAGATAGAGAGATAGAGATGTGTGGGGGTGTAACAAAGTTTTTTATTAAATTTAGTCAGTTAAAATGATTTAAATTTAATAGATTTCCTTGTATTTATTTAACATTTCTAGTAAAAAAAAGTATTTTTATCTCCACTAGACCATGAAAACATTAAGTATTTTTTTAACACAGTAACTCCAGATGTCTGAAACAGCTGGTCACTCTGTCCCTTCAGCTTCCAGCTGTCGTTCAGAAGCTCCGGGAAAAGAAGTGGAGGGTGGGAGATGTGCTGCGCATGCTGCTGCGCTACAGTGAAGAAATGCATCGACACCTTCCAACCAGGGAGGAGGCGCTGCAGGCGGACAGAGAACCTCACCACACCCCCCTCTTTCAGTGGCTGCTGGAGCATGCTTAGAGCCTCGTTCTTCCTCTTGTCATGTCACATCCAAAGGCCTTTCTCAAATGTCAGTCACCAGAGGGTGCTGCACCAGTCTGCACACATCTGGCACATTGTGCTGTCTCACATTGCATGCTGCGATCGAGAACTGCCTTTAGTCGTTTAATTTCTCTTTCCACCTCCCATTTCATTGTTGCAGGTTTAGAATTTGCCTGTCTACTTTTATCACAGGTTTATTTAATGATCTGTCTTCTGCACCCACCCACACTGCTGAGCCTCACACGGTGCTCGGAATGGTTGGAGAGACGGAGACCCACCCCATGTCCAGTCCAGATACACACTCAAACCAAGTAAGCTGTGTGGAGGATTTTTTTTTTTTTTCCTATCAGGGAATTCCCACAGCTGCTGAGCAGATGATGTCATCACATCCACTGCTCACCTCTGTGGTGGTGTTTGAAATGTTGAGAAACCAACAGTGTGCACACATCACACCACACCCTTGTATTATCACAACTAGTTCAAGACTCTAGCCTCTCATTTGAGCTGCACACTAGAAAATGCTGATGTTTGGTTTATTCCAGAGATGTTTCTATGGAGGACTGAGTGTCTTTATATTCTGTCAACATGTTGCCATCGAAGAGAAGTAGAAGATGTTAGAGATGTAAATACCCTGTCTGTGTTATGCTGTCATTTTGTGTTGGTGACAAAGTAAGCCATAAGTTTGACTATATATTATTGAAGAGTATTTCTGTCCAGGCTGCTCACTTAAGGCAGTATCTGACTGGGTTGTGACTGCTGGGAGCAAGTTGGCAAACCACATTTCCAACGGTGTCTACAGATTCATGACATTCACAGGTTCTCCGCCTTGCTGCTTGAGTTTTAAACAAGTTCAACAAATGAGTTTGACCAGTTTTCTCTCTAAAGAGTCAAAAGTTTTTGTAGGTATCTCAAACTCCTCATGATTTTGCTGCAGGTAATTCCACCCCGCCTCATCAACACTAGAGCTGTGTTTTGACTCCTGTAAAAGAAAACATGACCAGGTCTAATAACGGCTCCACCAACTTCCTTTCTGTGGCCTGGATTAAAACACTTTTGGTTTCAGAGGAAACGAGTTCTGTTGTGTACATGAACAGGCTGCAGCAGAAAAGCTAAGGTTTCGCTCAACATTAGTGTTGTGTAAATGGGAGCCTTCGGCTACGTTCACACTGCACACAAATGCAGCTTAAACCCTTTTTTTCTCATACGTGACCCATATTGGGTTTTTATGAACATCTGAACAGTTCAAATGCACTTTTTTTTTTTCTCTAATCTAACCCAAGTTTTTTTTCCACATGTTCTAAATCAGACATGTCCAATGTGACCACCGTCTGAATGGTCAGTTCATAATTCATCTGACTCGTCAGTGAGGTAGGTGATGCAAGTATTATTATTGATACCACCCGTGTGCACTTTAAACCTTGGACCTCTGCACTTCATCCACAGACCAGAAGTTCAGTTCATCTTGTTTCATTTAATTTTCCAAGTACTGGATGACTGAAAATCTACAGCTGTGACAGACCGTATCAATACTAGCATGATGGGATTGTTTGTTTCAACCTTCAGTCCATCTCTCCCAATTCAAAAATATAATGCTGCACTGGATCAGCCATCAAGAGGCAAGATCACATTTAAACACTGGACCAAACAAGCTTGTCAGATAATTCAATCATTTCTAATTTGACAAGTTCAGAATCAATACATGTTAATCTGTAGCATCCATATTTACCTTCTTAAACCCAACATGCTGTGCAGGATATTATACCCATGCAGGTCGCATCAGGCTCAGAAAGAACTCGTGTTGGACACATTTAAGTTATATTATGAACGATCGAACTGGAGCCATAGTCACAGTTGAGCATTAAGATGTGTAGTGTGAACATAGCTTTTTAGAGACCAACATGACGGCAAACTGTCCACGCTCTCTCACTCCTGGGGGCATTTTAGAGTTACCAGTAACATGCATGTTTTAGGTCTGATGAAGCCCACACATGCTGGGAAAGCATGACAACGCACAAAGGCTCCAGCTGGGAGGCAAACCTTACAACCTTTCTGTTTTATTCAGATTCTAGATCAAATTAGTGTGGGTTTTTTTTCAAACTACTATTATTAAAGAGAAAATGATCTCACACTTATGAACACAGAGATGACTCGTGAAAAGCAGGTGGGGTGCTACAGTTTCAACCGTACTGATTCAACTCCACCTCAGAGTTTGATCGAATGTTTCTCTTTCAGCTGATAAACGAGGTCTGAGACCAATTTTTTTCAGCTTCAATGTTAACTCACAGTCTGAAGTCAGTAGTCAGTCTCTTCTATTTCATGTAAATGCATGACAGACACTTCCAGTTTGTACTGGTGGAGGCTCAGGCTGTAGGGGAAGCTGGCTCCGCAACATACCTCTTACCTCCTGGAGCCTGACGTTTGTCAACTTACTCCTGTTATAAAGTTCTGTCTTATCTTAGTTCTAAGTCGTGAGGCAGCTTTCAACACTTAAAAAAGGATGACATTTTGAGCTTGCGAGGTCTCATGGCACAAGATCTCTTTACACTAATAACTATTTAAAACTGGTCTAACTCATCCTGATTTTATGTCTAAACTGTACTCTGATTAAATCATAAACATTGAGACTGATGTCACGGTGAGTACAAAGGGGACGGAAGCAGGTTAGTTGGGCCTGCCGGTCATGATTTTCATAAACTGGCTGCAAACACTAACTTCATGAGAGTGCAACAAAGATGACACCTATCTTTGCTCGGTTTAGGCTTCCACCAGTCACAGCCCAGTGACGAACCGTCTTTAACAAGCCTTTGTTGGTTGTCAGACTAAAGACGTTTAAAGTAGATGTTTACTATAGCAGTGGTTATTTTTGTCTTTTTTTAGAGTAATCAATCATGACATGCTGCTCAACCGTCATGTTGCTGCCAAATGCATATTATGAGATGACTCCAGCTCCAGTCAGTTTGTAATTGTATGATTTACTGGTCTTCTGTGGCAGGGGGCCCGAGCTAGTTCGGGGAAGATCCAGTGACGGAGACAGTAATTAAAGACACCAGTGTTGTCTTTACCTCAAGTGAAAAAAAGCTTTCAAATTAAAAGGATTTGCATAGCTAAAGGCAGGACTCACACACACGTAATGTCACCCACATTCCTCAGTCACCTTGTGGAATCAAGGAGTCGGTGACTCCACACAAAAATACCTTCATTACTCACCGACGTCCACGCCTCTTTGGGTTCACTGGTCTATTTAGCCTCTGTATTCAAAGAAAGGTCATATATTGTGTTATTTATTGTTCTGTCTTGATTCATGGAGCTGATGGATGTCCCAGTTCTTTAGGTCTTGAGTTGAAGTCACTGTAATATATCAGGACCAAACACGTATTATTATTATTAAGTGCTGGTTTTGCCTGCATGACTCAGTCTTCTGAAACTCAACACTGTTCTTCTTTTGATGCCTGTGTTTCTGAGCGCCAGTGTTCCCAGTATGTTACAAGCCGTTCCAGACACCTTAGTTTGTCCTACTTTACGTCTCGGCTGCCAAATGGTCAAAGAACACTAAAAGTGTTTGTTCTGGTTTGTTTAGACAGAAATCTCTGTACATACAAGTCCCGGTTCTGAAAAGGTTGAGATGTAGTCTAAATTGTGAATTAAAAACAAAATGTAAAATTTGGAAAAAATGTCATAAACCTATATTTTACTAACAGTGGAACATGGTAAACACATCTAACATAAAAACCAAGAAATTGTTCATTTTTTAGGGGAAAAAAAAAAAGTAATTTTGAATTTACTGACAGACACGCATTACTTAAAAATTGACATGTGAAACAAGCTGTAAATGTGATATAAATTAAAAAAAAAAAAACCAGCTGAAGGAGCATTTTGCAACTAATTAACAGTAGATTATTTAGCAACAGTAAGAGAACTGGGGGAAAACAAAAAAATCATTTTAGAAGATAAATGTCTCAGAAAAATGAGTAAGTTTCACGAGTCTGAAAAATAAAAAGCATTTAAAATAGTGGGACTATTTCAGAAAGAAAAAACATTCTTAATGGAAAATATCTACTTCATAATATCTAATAATGTCAATAATCTGGAGAAATTTCTGTTTGCAACAAACAAAGTGGGCTCAGTAACACTTTCATAAATTATGGCCTCTGAACGCCGGCTGCTCTGTCATGCACTAATGGTGGCTAAAGCTCTATCGTGCAAAGACGACGCCATAATTGAACATTCTGAAACACTGATGTCTCTGAGCCAAAGCTGCTTTAAAATGGAATGTGGCAAATCTGCTCTGTGGTCAGACACATTTTATTTCCGACCACCATTTTTATTTTTATTTATTATTATGTTTTTGTCACATTCTTCGTTTTTGAGGTGGGCTGTCCAACCTGATATCTGTGCACAGTTCAGAAGCATTTATTTTCAATAGTGCCTCTGGCATGGACAGCTTACACACCTGAATAAATACCTTGAAAAAGCGTATAGAAGTTTTCACACAGCATGTGGTCCCATTTAAATGACTATGCTAAACCAAACACTGGATCCAGATCAACAACTTGGCTTCGTAGCAGAACAGTCTAGATGTTGAAGTGGCCTGGCTTCCTGCACCTCTCACTGATTAAAATCATTAAGTGCTCCATAAATTTAACGTAAAATTCAAAATTACCTTCTTTTTTTTTAATTACAGTTTCTTAAAACAGGTTTGCTATGGATCTTTGTAAATAAAATAGAGGTTTATAAAAATTTCCAAGTAGTTGCTTTCAGTTTTCATACTTCTCAGAAATTGGGGTTGTAACTAAATGTATAAATAAAATTATATCCTAGCAAAGATATGGTTGAAAGATTGAACATGAAGGAAGCGTGAAGTCCACTGCTGAGTGAGTGGTTTACATTGAGGCAGGAGAGCATCACGCTGTACACGCTCCCTCCTTGTTGAAGTAGAACCTCCCCAGGTTTTGTCATGTACTTGTATCCCTCTTTATTTGATCTACTTTACATTCCTGCGTATCCCAGAGTCCCTCCAGCTCTTATTGTTGTTTGTGAAGTTAAATCTTACGAAGCAGATGTAGATACGATGTCTGTTTTGCTGCTGCTGTTCCTCGTGTTGCTTTCTGTTTCTCTTTGTTCGCTGTGAGAGAAAAATAAATGTGTATTTTCCTGCTTCCTTCCTGAACCCTACCAAATGAAGGTATTGAATAAATTAAAATGTAAAACATTAACTTTGTTCTCCTTACTGGCATTGTTAAATATTTGTCACATTCTGAGCTTGAACTTCAAACTGTTTGTTAGAGCTTGTTGTGACAATAAAGCTTTTTTTGTGCTCAAAAGTTTTTGTTTTGTTTTTCTTCTTTAAATGTTTGACACGTTCAAGTTTGATCGCCTACTGCCAAAAGGTGAAAGTGAGCAATAATGTTTTTGCCTCATGACTGTCCATGTGTCAGTGTGTTGGCAAAATATTTTATGAACCATTTGATGGATAAATGGTGGATTGCTTTCTTCAGGTTGAGGCTGAGGTTCTGCCTTGAGTGGAGGAGTTCAAGCATCTCGGGACTTGTCCATGAGTGAGAGAAGAATGGAGCGTGAGATTGACAGACGGATTAGTGCAGCGTCTGCAGTATTGTGGACACTACCGGTCCGTTGTGGTGAAGAGGGAGCTTGTCTGACTGGGGAAGACCCAGGCCAACTGAGAGACTACCGGTATGCCTCTCAGTTGATCTCGAAGATGATGGATGGATACATCTACAATTGATTAAATTTTGAAAACAACCAGATCCAGGATGACTGCTACAGACA